ATAGTTAATATATATAATATATATATTAATTAAAAAAAACTTTTGTAAACAGACAACCAAGGAGCCCGGGCTGGCTGTCAGTACTTCAGCCAATTCAGCAGAGACAGGGTTGAATCACATGAGCGTTTATTCCAATAATGTCAGAAGCGTGGGAGAGCAGCAGGTCTCCCACAGAAATCTGCTCTGCCTCACCCGTAAGCTGGCTGCTTATATTGGGCAGAAGGACAAAGGTTACGTGGGAAAGTAGGAATTGCAGGGATGGGAAAGGGGGCACGGGTCACTCATTACAGGTTACAAGTCATGCGGGCTGGGCAGGGGGGAGGGGGTGTTCGCCGAGGGCAGGCACCTCTGGGTGCCCAGGACCAGTTACAGGCAATAGGATGGGGGTGTAAAGAGCAGGTGCCTCCGGAACTAGATGGTCTCAGCCACGAGGTTGCCAATCTTTCCATAATGAGAGGCAGCTTTCGGGACAGGAGGATGGCCTGCATGCCCATTAGCTGCCATGTGCCAGGCATACACTCCCTGCCAGGTGAGAAGGCGCTTTCTCTAATTAGAACAGAAGCATCATGGTGAGCAGAGCAGGATTAATAGTTCTTACAATTGTAGCTGGTCCCCAATACTCTATGTCTGCCCCTAACACTTTTACTAATTACAAGAGCAACTAATTCATTAGTGAATATGTAGATAGTTCGAATGAAGGGGGAAAGTATATTTCTTTTACTATGTCCAACCTTAATTACTGAGATACATTTTATAGACCCTTCTTTACTTAAAACATTTTTAAAAATTGATTTCAGAGAGGAAGGGAGAGAGATAGAAACATCCGTGACGAGAGGGAATCATTGACTGGCTGCCTCCTGCACGCCCCACTGGGGTTTGTGCCCTTGACCAGAATCGAACCCGGGTTCCTTCAATCTGCAGACCTACGCACTATCCACTGAACCAAACCGGCAAAGGCCCTTCTTTACTTTAAAAATGAATAAATTTCCCACCGACCAGTAGTCTCCTTCCCTCGATAATTTCATGAGTTGTTTTATTTAATAGAAACTAGCGTTAAGGTTAGCAATGGATGGCTGTAAGTTTGTAAGGCTTTGTAGTTCTGGAAATTAATAGCCAAAGGTGTTTATTCTTCAATACACGTCTCATTTTATAAAAATGTAATGCAACTCGGGCTGTTTTCTAACATACTAACAACCTTCATATATGGAGGGAAACTTGGCTAAAATCCAGGTCTTGTTCTCCTATCTTTACAGTCTTTCTCAGTTGAAAGGGAGAATAACCCCCCCCACCCCCA